AAAGCTCAATTTAAAAAAATTTAAAGAAGGTTGGGAAGGGGAAAGAGGTAGTAGAACATATGTAACATAAAATCAGAATGAGAGGTACTGGAGAGAGGAAGAAAGTGGGGGGGGATGGTGGGAGTCAACGTATGTATGAAAATGCAACATTGAAATCCACTGAAAAGCTGACTCATGCCCTCTACAAACCACTGAAAAAATTTTGAGATGAGAACAGAAAGACTTATGGGTCTGGATAAAGAAATTTTCAGATGAGAAATAGCATTTCTGCAATCTGGATAGGTAGATAGATGATGATAGATGATAGATAGATAGATAGATAGATAGATAGATAGATAGATAGATGATAGATAGATAGATAGATAGATAGATGATAGATGATAGATAGATTGATAGATAGATAGATAGATAGATAGATAGAAGATAGATAGATAGATGATAAATAGATGACAGAGAGATAGATGATAGATGATAGATAGATAGATAGATAGATGATAGATATGGTCTAAGATGGAGACTTAGTAAATGGAATTAAGAAGTCCAGAAGGAACAAGTATTCCAGATCTATTGTACAATGTGGTGACTCTGTAATTATATAATAATATATTGTATATATCTCAAAAGTGCTATGACAAGAGCCCAGAGTGGAGCAAGAGAAATGGGCAGTGGGCCAGCCCTGGCCTGGGAACTGTTGGAGGCGGATTACATTTGGGTGAGGGAGACTAGACCTTACAACCTCTAGATAGGTTGAGTAGACTCCAGTGGATGAACTTGCACCAAAGGACATCTGGGTACAAATGGTTGACTGAATAAGGATTTAACATTTTTGGTGGAATGTGTGAGGTTGGGCAGAGGTGGGGGGGTAATGTGGATGGAGGAAGAGATCTAAATTTGATGACGAATTGTATGAAATGTCAAAAGCTTAATTAGATTTTTTAAATAAATAATTTTTAATCAAAAAAAGAGAGCTAGTTAAGTATAGTCAGTCAGTCCTCAAAAAAGAGATCCTACTACAGAGATACTTGTTCATTGTCCCTTATGCACAATAAATAAGAAATGGAAACAAAAGAAACCAAAAAAAAAAATGCTATGAAAGTAAATTTCAAATGTTCTCACCACAAAGAGAAATGGTAAGTGAGGAGATGAGGAGACAGGTATGTTACTTAGCTTGATGTAATCCTTCTACAACATAGACATATGTCAAAACATCACATCCGATGGCTCACCAGTTAAGATCACCTTTTGCTCTGGCAGAGGACCCAAATTCAGTTTCCAACACCAACATGACAGCACATAACCACTTATAACTCTAGCTCCAGGGTATCCAACACCTTCTGGTCTTCATGAGCACTTAACTCACATGCACAAACACACATAATTTTAAAACATATATAGTTTTTCAATCACATTGTATCCTACAAACATATTGAATTGGTATTATTTCTTTACTATCATTGTTTGCTGATTTAATTTTTTAAAGAAAGATCCTAATGGAAGTTTCTCAGACCAAAAGGAAAAAACACCGTATGAAAACTTAGATTCTCAGAAATGTGTGTGAATTATATGCAAAAAAATGCAAAGTGTTTCATAGCAACCTAAGACAAGTTTCTCCCCTTCCCACTTAATATCTCTGTAAGCCATGTAAATATTTAAAACAGAAATAAAAAACAAAACATAATAAATTTAAATACCTGTAATATTCTACACTTTTTTATGGGGGAACATGAGATACAACAGACCAGCTGGTATGCCCAAAAGGAAACTCTCCTACCACTTCCCCTGGTCACCCTGGTTAAAGAGAACCTCATGATGAACAATGTCCCGATGACTGTGTAGGTGGCTTCCTCTCCCACTGCTGATGGCCAGCTGGCCAGACAGGCACTGGCTTGAAGCCCATCCACTAGGGTACAACTCCCACTCCACCTCCCTGCTGCCTGCCTCTTCACCCTACTAGGAAACTCTCCTGCCCTCCACACACAGGAGAATATCTTAGCTGTAAGTGAAATGGAAGCTAGGACTCATGGGTAAGCAATTAGGTGATACTGTGAGAGGAAAAAACTTTCCCCACCTTCTGACCATTTGAAAAGAAATATTATCTTCAAAGAAACATCTTTACCTGAGATCTTAAGTGCAGAGCTTATTTATCTTGTCCCAGGTTAACCTTGCCAGGAAATTTGCATTTAAATAAGGACACTCCAGAGCCTGTTCATCTAGGGGACTGTCTACTCTAAAGGGGAAATGTTTTTGGCTCCCTTTTTGTTTTCTCCCTGTCTCCCCTGGTGCCTCTGCCTGGGGAGGGAAGCTTCTCTCTCCTGGAGCTAGACCAGCAAGGTGTCATTCCACAAGCAGTAACCTTCTGGATGTTGAGGTGGAAACCCACTCCCACTTCTGCTAAGAGACTGCCACACCTTGGTCCTCATCATATCTTCCCTGCCCAGCTGGCCTGGCTTCCCACACCCTTGTTATTTGAGTTGCATATGGCCACTTCCTACCCATAGCCCTTCCAGCACAGCATACCTCAGTCACTTCTAACTTCAAATACTCCAAAACAGCCTCTTCCTTACATGGTTTTATGTGGTACCCCTTGCACCATTTGTTCTCCTGTTCCAGAACTTAGATCTCCAGAATGCTGCCCTGCCGTCTCCCGTCCCTCTCCAGTGACTTTTGCCCACTCTGCTACCCGTGAACACTGCAGGCCCCCTCCTCCTCGTCAAATCCAGAGTGTCATGTGTATGGACAAAAAGGACTCTGAGTTTTCAACTCTTGGATTTCCCACAAGCAAACAAGCTCATTCTGTCCAAACAAAAGCTGGTCACCCAGTCTTCATCACTACAATGTGAACGTGCCTACATTCCCCCTTCACACTGTTGAAACACTAGTTTGTCTCAGGACTGGAGATGGTAGTGTACTTACCTAACACACGCAGTGTCCTTAATTCAGTTCCCAGGTATAGTGATACACACCTGTAATCCTAGCACTCAGGAGGTGGAGGTAAGAGGTAGAAGGTTAATCAGACATAAGGGAACCCTCAGCTATGTAGTTAGTTCACCCAGTTGTACCTTCAGCTGGGTCTGCTACCAGTCCATGGTGATGAGCACCTTTGTGATGAATACTTCATTGGGCCATTAGAGACTACTGCAGTGTTCTAAAGTGGGAGGGGTCTTAGGACAGGACGCAGCCAAATGAGGCTGGACTCTCTACCCACCTTCTAAAACACAGTTTTACAAATTTAATTCTACTTCTTGAATTATTTCAATGGCCTCGTATTGTCTACAAATGAAGCACAGATACTAATTTCACATACAAATGTCTCAGAACCTTCTCACCTATATGATAGCATTTAACAGCATAGACTTCAAAGCTTTAACATTAACTACCTGTGTGACCTAAGACTAGGATCTTTAGCTCTCTGTATCAACTTCCTTCCTTGTAAACTAGGGGTGATTATAATAGAATTCACGGGGTTCAGGGACCACCAGATGTGTTCATATGCAGAAAGATTTTAGTTGGAAATATTCGGTGTATTTGTTAACTGCACCTTCACCTATGATCAGTCTTCATACACAAACATATGAATTCACTGCCCTTCACAACCAACAGTATATAGTCCCAGGACACATCATGGTGGTGACTTTCTGCCTTCAAAACATTTCTTCTCCCTTTGTCAATCTGCCAAGCTTCCCTTTATTACTCAGGACTCAGCACAACCGTTTGTATTTCTGTGGAAACTTCCTTGAGCCCTCAGGCTGTCCATCCTCCACTCAGACCCCATGGCACCCCAGTTCATTTCTATTTCAGCATTCATCGCTTTCATCAATTATCTTTAAAACGCTGAGCTACCCTTCTGAGGCACTTATGTGTGCCAAGCCCTGTTCTGAATTTGGACATGGATTCTCTTAATTGAGCTTGCTGCAGACAAGCAGAATGTTTTAGTAAATGGCATATGTGTTGTCATTATTTCTAGACTGTGAGACTATTCATGGGAGACTATATGATCTCTGTCCTGATCATCTTTGAATCTCTAGCACCCAGGAAGGTGCCCTATGCATTGTGTGTACATGGTTAGATTAGAATGTCTTAATTGACCCAATCAGAAATGGGCAGTACTGAGAGAGTGATAGGAGCATGCGCAAGCTACTGACATTGAGGGACATTTCAAGAGGACAGATGATGGTCAGATCTGGAATTCATTAGTGCTATAAACAGAAATTGCAATAGCTATCTCGCACCATCATTAAATCCTTATTACTACACGAACAATTTCTATAGTGCTCACAGGTTAATGTGCGCTCCTTTGATTCGGTACTGTCATATAATCCCAGGTCTTTTCAAGGACATAATAATGCAATTCATGATGGCATTTCATTCTGTGATTTTGCTTCAGGTCATATGCAAGGTTCTGAGACGTTTTGAATGCTCTTACCTCATGGGGTGCCTGCATTTGGTAAAGGGTAAAGAGATACCCTTTACCTTTTCTGCCCATTGAATATAAAATGCAAATTGACAAAAATTTAGAGAATTATAACAAGCAGCTAATGTTATCATTTCTATGACAATGTTCTAAGACCATGAACACAAATATGTGTTGCTTAATTGCTACAGACTATGCTTTTTATAAATTGAAACTATGTGAAAGAAATTCAGGGATAAATATTTTAACTTCAGCTAACCTTTTGCCCTATCTTTGAGCATAGGAAGTTCTGACTCAGAGAATAGGTAAGATCAAAACTATTACAGTATCTCCGGATTAGTTGATTTTTAACAGAGGGAGAGAACTAGCCAGTCATGTCAGGGACCAACCACAGGGGTGCCAGTGGGACTGGATGGGCACAACAAACTCAAATCTTGAGCCCCACACAATCTCTGGAAGCCCCTGGATTTAGCTTGATTCACTCCAGTGATCTGAAGGCAGTATAGTACAATATCAGGGGCATTCTGTGGTTGCTTGGCACCCTGAATGTGATGGGAAGTGAGATCTCTTCGGTGTTGTGTCATCTTAGGAACTACCACTGCTGGAACGAAGCTTGGATGACAAGGCCTGATCTTCCTGTTGGGTTCGGAGGCTGGCAGGCTGTGGACAGCACACCCCAGGAAAACAGTGATGGTAAATCTGCTTCTTCCCTGTTTGCCTCATTGCTTACCTTGACTTCATTTTCATGTTTGCATTTGTGTGTGGATAGCACACGCAACAAGAACCAATACCAGAAATGTGCTTGCTGAGCACGCATACAGGATTAACTACCTGTCAATCAGGTTTCTCCTCATTTCAATAGTCAGCTTTGCCCTGATTGTTTTACAACTTTTAGAAAAAGAATGTAAAACTTAACTTATATAATTCACTTTCTCTTGCTTTGATAAGCAGTTTTGAAGACAAGAGAAAAATTATCTGGGTAAGCAATTTTTACTAGGCTATAAAATACGCTTCAGCCCTCCCAGATCTACAGTGATAAGGTGATATAATGCTGTGGAGAAAATAAAGAACTTGAAAAATCATCCACTAAATTGTTGTTCTTCCAGAACCAGAGTTCATTTATGTTAGGTGGTTTCTTTCGAATCAAGTTGGTGGGTGTTTGACCTCTACTTGTCAGCTCTGCTAAACAGGGGCAACTATGACCAAGCCCATACTTTTATAAAATCATGCTATAAGTCCCCAACTCTCTTTAATATGGTTATATAAACATTAGTGGACTGAGGACATGGTGAGCATTCATTTCTGTTTCCTCTAAGAGATGATCTGAGACAATGACATCATATTTATGCACAGGTGCAGATGTATTCAGTCCATTCACAACGGAACCATGTTACAATACTGAATTTTATGGAAGAAAGCTTCGGGCTTTCTAGTGTTCTGGACTGTATAGTACAAGGAAAATTCAGAAGGGACTAACAGGAACAAATCTGTTAATAGTTATGTATAGATGGTTAAAATTTAATTAATTCTAGCAAAGAAAACATGAACTTGTTGACTTACTTTCTGTTGTAAATTTTTATTGAATTTTTGTGTATTTCATACAGAACATCTTAATCATCTTTATACCCCCTTCCCCAATGGCACCCTCCCATACCCTCCTCCCACTGTAATTCATGTAGTCTGTCATTTGCGTTAAGACCTATTGAGTCAAGTGAGTGTCCCCAGACATTCCTCAATGCAAGTTCATCCACTGAGGTCTAGTCAGCCTATCTAAAGTCCCTCCCTTTAAGAAGATCAGCTCTTCCTCACCCAGAAGTGATCAGCTGCCAATAGTTCTTCAGTGAAGATTGGGTCCTGTTGCCCATTTCCACAGTCCTGTGCTGGGTTTTTTGTTTTTTTGAGGTTTTTTTGTCTGCTTGAGTTTGCATGGGTCTTGTATTTGCCGACACCATTGCTGTAGGTTCACATGAGCAAGGTCCCTGGAGCCTGTAGGACTCTATTTCCATATGGTTATGTACCTCCTCCCTGGTTCTTACACTCTTTCCTCTTCTGCAATGGTCCCTGAGCCCTGGGTGGGTAGAGTTAAATATAGGAGTCCTGTCTAAGAATCCACACTGCAGACTCTTACTCTCTATGCTTTGGCCATTTGTGTCCTTTGGTGTTCATGGCCCTCTGTTGCATGAGGGAGCTTCATTGATGAGAATTGAGACATGCATTAGTGTTCTTTTTACCCCTTGATCCACTATGTTCTACGAGCCTTAGGTATACAGTTTGCATTTGTAGATGTGTCACTGAGGTTTGGGTAATTCACAATCTCTCTGTATAGCCTGCTGACTTCTTGGATGCATGTCGGGCACTGGCCAATGGGTATGGTTAATTCCCAATTATCCAGTTGAACCTGACATGTGTCCATAAATAAAAATACCAAAGCAAGAGCAGCACAACTACAAGGATATATCAGGTGCCAACTGTAAAAAAAGGATAAACACCTTAGTGCACATTTTTTTTTAGGCAGCAGAACAGAAACAGGAACAGGGTTGCCTCATTCTTTTCGTGGTCTTCAAATTTTGGATTGAGTTGGCATTTACAACAGAGCTCTTTTGATTTTGATTCTCCACATTGGTCATCTGCGCTCTGCAGCTAAGGAAAGCTTTTGGGCAAAGTCAGTGGTGAAGTGAAGAGTGGGAACTGGTGTTTGTAGAACCACCTCAGTGCTGTGCACTGTGCTGTAGGTAGACAGAACTGAAAAGGACAAACTCACACTGCCCTCCTCCTTTTTGTATGCTCCAGGTATGTACCGCTGTGGCCCCGCCTCTGTTCAAGCTGTTAAGCATGGCCACGTCTGCTTCCAGTTTGATGCCCCCTTTGTTTTTGCAGAGGTAAGTGGAAAGCTGGCGGAAAGTGCCATTTTCCTCCTCAGTCTCTTTTTACCTGAAGGAGTTAGACACCAGGTTGTGAGTTTTCAGTTTCCCAGGTACACAGCGTATGCTTCCTGTCAGCCAGACATCATTCCAACCCCAAGTTCTTAATGCCAAATGCAATTCCTACTTATTTTTCATGACTTGAGAATTTGAGGTTGTTTTTCTACTAAAAGCAAATTATTACAAAACCTTATCTTAGTTCTTTGTACCTGGGAACAAATTAACATCAGCAGCTCTGGAGACATAAGTGACTAACTTGATCACTCAATTAGAACTTGTAAAAATGGTCTATGAATGGAAATTTCAAAGTGTCTGACTTCCCTCTAAGACTGACCCAGCAATGCACATGAAGCACACACGTATATACACACACACACACACACACACACACACCATTCATACACACACACCTCTCCCTGTGTTCTGCCAGGAGGAGAAGGAAGAGTTCAAAATGATACCCCAATAAAGAAATGTAACCCACTTAACAGAATGATGGGGATACTGAGTGAAGAGTCTAGAACTCCAGAAGAACAGAGCAGGGGCTAGAAACACAGCAAACAGTTAAAAGATGCTCCAGGGAAAGCACTGAAAATCAAATCAATGTAAGAGATATCAAGCAAGGGAGAATGCTGGGAGGCTCTTGAGGGGTGGGGGTATTTGAGATGCAGGGCATCTTCACGATGTACTTGCACCAATAAACACTGAAACGATATCACTTGTATATTGGGTACTTGGTGTGTAATTATTTTGCCTGCATTTAATGCTGTTAGCAACCCTTTTAAATGAGTATTGAAAATCTTCCCATTCCACAGAAAAGAAAATCAAAGTGACTAAATAACTTTTCTCCAGTCATCTACCTGATAAAGAGTAGTGCTGAGATTTGAAGCCGGGTGCGCTCCCAAGCTTGGGCTGGCAGCCACCCTGAAAGGAATAAATATTTAGCATCAGTGCACATTAAGCAGAATGCTCAGAGGCCCTCATTCTTAGAAGGTATAGTCCTCAGAGGGGAGAAGTCGGTAAGTCCATCTACAGCATACCAATACTGGATGTGACAGCACAAAGGTTCATGGAAGTAATGGCTGGAGAAGCAATACAGTCAACACATGATGGCTTTTGTACATAGGGATTAGTTGAGAAAAAGAGGCTAGAACTGAAGCAGAACAGCAAAGACCACAAGGCCCAAAGGAAAGTCACTGACCAGGGAACAGAAAACCATGTTTCCCTGTGTAAGTATAGAGGCCCCTACTTAGAAGCCTCCACTCACGATTTTTTGAGTTTGTAATGGTGCGAAAGCAATACAAATTCAATAGAAACCACACTTTGGAGTTTGAATTAGGATCTCTTCCTGGGCTGGGATATGTGGCTTGATCCTCTCAGACGATGCTGGGCAACAGCAGGAACCTCCAGCTCCCAGTCGGCCCTGTGATCATGAGGGAGAATAACTGACAACATGTAGTAGGCTCAGCTAAGATGTCCTGTAACTGAGGTGTGTGAAATTCATTTGTAATTTATGGACACTTCAATTTACAATGGGTTTAATCAGGATACAATACCATTAAAGCCATAGGGAATCTGTACGGTCATGGTTTTAAGAGCACAGTGTTGTGGGATTACGTGGGAAAGAGGCAGTTAGGCAAAGGAAATTAGGATGAAGCCAGAGCTGGCTCAGCAGGTAGGGGCACTAGCCACCACGTTTGACAACCTGTGTTCAGTCTCCAAGACCCACATGGTGGAAGACGAAAACCAGCTCCTGCCAGTTGCCCCATGACCTCTACACAACACACTATGGCACACACATATGTACACCCCCCAACACACATATTAAATAAATAAATGTGAAAGAAGGAAAGGCAAGAAGGGAGGGAGGGAGGGAAGAAGGAAAGAAGAAAGAAAATAAATCAGGGAAAAGAAGGACTTTCAGACCAGAGGGGGATGACTTGAGCATCCACATGTTACGTGTGGGCAGCTAAAAGCTCTGCAAATATATTAGAATATCAATAGTGTATCCAGGTATCAAAGGTAAAGGCTAAAGAAGTTCTATGTGGGAATTCTCATGCCCTGAGAAATTAGTCCTTTATCTTGTATGCCAGGGAGAGTTATCAATGCCAGGGGCATCAGTCAGTGCACCAACAGCCTGTAGAACATGGGTTGGTGGAACTGACACTAGAGATGGGAGACCAACCAGAGAGCTGGGCTGTGGCTCCATTACAGAGGACGGGCCTTATGTCACTCTGACCAAATACCTGATAAAAACATCTTAAGGGAGGAGGATTATTAGGCTCATGATTTGAGACATTGCAGTCCCCCATGATGGGGACAGCATGCCTCAGATACATGAAGCATCTGACTGCTTTACCTCAGGAAGCAGAAAGAATTCTACAAGAAGCTGAGCTGGCCCACCAGCCCTCAACAGCCTCCTTCCTCCAGCTAGGGCCCACCTCCTAAAGGTTTCACAGCCTTCCCAAACAGCACCACCAGCTGGGGACCAAGTGTTCAAACACATGAACGTGTGAGGCACATTTCACCATCAAACCTTAACGAGCCTGCGCTAGACTCATGGCAGTTATCAGGAAAGGAGGAGGGAAGAATGAGACGCATCTGGGAAGTAAAGTAACTGCCAATATGCAGACAGCAGAAATCATGGATGTGAAATGCACAAAAGGAACCGTGTTTCCCCTACTGCACCTGCCATTGCAGTTTCTAGAAGCCTCTGGAGACCAGGCTTACTGTACTTGCAGTTTCATTTGATTTCACTTTGGGGATCTGAAGATTTGTACAAACCTCCATGGTTGTCATCTGACAGTCTACGATACTCTGAGAAACTCTTAATGGGAGATCACTCTGAAATCCACAAAGCTTTCTTCTTATATTTTTATTATGCTTTATTTCTGTGAAGAAGGAGCAAGGAAGGCCCTCCCTGCAGTAGGGAAGGGCCTAATAGCTGTTAATGCGAGCACTCTTCGCTGTTATTAAATATAGATCAGGGTGTGAGGGATGTCATCGGGATTTGCAGATAATTGCTCTTCTCTCACAGCTGCAGAGGCTTATGTGTCAGAGGATGCGGTCTGTTGCTTTAGCATGGGCTGAGTTCCAGGTCCTAGGCATTTTTCGGAGATGTATGAGCTGCTGGAAAGTGGATGAGGCATCTTCTCTCAGAGATGCTCACCAGGACCCCAGAGGGTTGAACGGGTGACTTTAGTGCAAGTCTCAGTGACTCAGGGTGAGGCTGCTGCTCCTTCCCCCTCTTCCACCTTATGTATCATCCTTCCTCTTCCTACCCAGGGATATCAGCAGGAGTCAGCCTGTTCTTACCTCTCAACCTGCTGACTTCCTGGACACCTCTTTCTCACTTCCTGTTCACTGACTTTTTTTTTTAAGTTTTCTTAGGACCTTCCTTGGCCTCTTTGAATAAAAACAGAACCTGGAAGTGGTGGTACACATGGAAAGTGTCCTCTCTTTGACCCCCTTTCTTATTCTCCCCCATACTGAGAAGAAAGGAACAGGAGGGAGGGGGCAGGATTCTTGGCCCCTCCCCCCACATGCCTTCTTCACACTTGTGAGTTCTCCCAGTTCCAGAGGCTCGGACCAGTTCTCTCCCCAACCCATTGTGGATCAGGGCTTCTGAACAGATGAGCAGAGAGTAGAGAGGCTTTGAGTGTCTGAAGTCATCTGAGTTCCTGTGTTCACCTGCCTCAGGGGTTCTCAGTGAAGAAATGCTTCTTGAGAAAGATCATTCTCATCTGTCTCAACTTCTGGCTGACTCTGTGGCCTTTATACCATCTCACCCAAAATGGACATAGGCACACACACACACACACACACACACACACACACACACACACAC